TTCATGTAGAAAATCCAATTCATTCGGAAGATTCTTTTTTATTTCATCTACAAGCCACATAAGTCGAAATTCGGGAAACACTGCATCGGCAACACTGACAAGTAGTTCCATCGTATTGACATCCGTCCTACTGTTTTTGTAAACTCGTTTGTGTTGAACTTTTACTGCGACTGTTTCTCCTGTTGTTTTCAGCTTGGCTATGTGAACTTGGGCCAGACTGGCAGCACCAACTGGTTTATCCGAGAATTCCGAGAAGATGTCGTCTACTTTGGCGTTCAATTCGGTTTCTACCACATAAACGACATCTTCCTTAGACGCTTGTGGAGCTTGAGAAGTCAGAACACTCAGTGTTTGTGTGTACTCGGGTGGTATCAGATATTCCATTCCAGAAATATGCTGTCCAACCTGAAAAAGGTCTCCAAATAAGAATAAAATCATGAATAGACTCACCTTAATGAATACTCCACCATTTGCACATGCTAGTTCCAGAAGACGTTCAGCGCTTCTCTGGTGACACTTTTGTATTGCATCATCGTATCCTTCTGATGGTGCAGGAAGTCCTCTCAAAGAGGTTTTGTAGTCTACAACAATTTTTCCCACCTGAAATTAGATGAAGGCTAATACTAGAAGTCAGAACTTCTGACTACTCACTGTCTTTGCAGCTCTTCCAAATCGAAATATTCCCAGTTGCCTCAGATCTTCAGGGGAATCTACAGTGTGTGCAGTGTATCCAGCTCCTGTACCAGTCCCTACTAGTAGAACCTACAAAAAATGGAAGTTCAGTAATTAATTTTATTCTCGAGAAAATACTTACTTTTGTGAACGGCTTTAAAGCTTGTAATTTTTTGAAAATCATAACACCGGGCTGAAATTAACTGAAAATGACGAAAAATCATCAAAATTGCAATTTTGTAACCGCGCCCCGTTGTGTGAGAAAAGAGTGTGCGGAACGCAGAGAGAGCAGACAATTTTGCAGAGAACTTTTGCGAACATTTTGATTCATGACATTTCGGTATCAATTTCAGCAGTTTCGAGAGATGTTTCGAGTTTGGAACTGTTTTTTTTATTCTTATGGCTAATCTTCTCATACCTCAAATAATGCGAAAACATCAGTTTATTAAAATAAAATTAAAACATTGCAGAATGAGTCTGAAGAAGATCATTGATGTTGGATCTGTTAACAATCTTCTCAAAAAAGGAATCATCAACAAGGAAGGGGTTCGGCTCATCGACTGTTCTTACGCTGTGTCTGCAAGATCTGATTGGAAAGAATTCGAACAAGAAGGATATGGAGAATTTAAGACACTGATGGCAGAATCAAGTCCGTGAGTGCTTCATGTTTGGAACTCTGCAGGAATTTATTCAGTTTTCTATTTTCTAATGAAAAAATCTTTACAACTGAAGATGTTTCAGAAGTCGCAGGTTGTATCATGCTGGCCATATTCCTGAAGCAGTACACATTGATCTAGATATCGCAACATATCCATCAAGATATCAGAGATTCCAACAGTATCGTGCAGATCTCTTTGAAAAATATGCGCAAATGGTTGGTCTCAACAACAAGGAACACTTTGTTTTTTATGGAAAAGGGGCTTTCGGAGGAATGCTTTTTGCATCCAAGGTTGCTTGGATTTTCAAATCCTATGGCCATGAGAACATCTCGCTCGTAGATGGTGGATTCGACTCATGGAAGAGGCATGGATTTGATGTATCGACTGAAGATGTGAAACTACCAGTTGGAAACTGGAAAGCTGAGGATGAATTCAAGAAATTTGTAATCACTTTCCAAGAATTGGATGCTAAAAAAGAAGGAGAAGAGAAGCAGTATATTGAAAAAACGTCTGAAATCAATTTCCTTGATAGCAGAATACGAGCCCAGTTTGAAGGAACACAGGACACTGGACTTGATCCTTATATGGTGAACGGCTGTCGGATCGCTGGCTTTAAAAATTTGCCAAGTTCCGAACTGCTGACAAAAGAAGGAACCCTGAAAAGTGAAGAGGAAATTAAATCATGTACGTTACTGGTAGAATTTGTTTAAGCCTTCTCAGTGGTCATTTTCAGGGCTCACTAAAAACGGCTACGTCGAAAATCAACCTGTTGTCACCTCATGCAACGCCGGGATTCAAGCTGCTCTTCTCGCTTACGTAATTGATACAGTGAAACCATCATCTACTCCACCACGTGTTTATAATGGATCTCTAAAAGAAATGGAGCTCAGAGCGCCGAAGAAAATTTCCGAAGGACCCCAGCATCTACATTGAAACATAATCCATTTCGTTATTTAGTTATAGTTTTAGTGTTCAATATTGGGGTTATTCACCAAAATGTAGAAAAATTCGGAGAAATGGAGAAAATTTCTCAAAACCGCGGAGAATGAACTAACCTCGCTGAAATTTCGGAGAAAATCGGAGAAAATTATAGAGAGCATATTCACAAAATTTGGGGTCAAAATATCCACTTTGACCATTTTGTCTGAAATTCCAGCCAAATTTTCAAAGTGGATATTTCGAGCCCAAATTTTGTGAATATGTTCCTAAGAATTTTCTCCGATTTTCTCCGAAGTTTCAGCCAGATTGGTTCATTCTCCGCGGTGTCGCGGAATTTTCTCCATTTCTCTGAATTTTTCTACATTTCAGTGAATAACCCCAATATATATTTCATTGTTTCCTTTTTTTGTTAAATTTCAGTTTCAGTACCACAAATATTCTTGATCGTTTTCATCTATAAACATTCAAAGTTGATTATTTAAATATTCATTTTTAATATTCTGTTTTCCTTATTCCTTCTTCGGGATTTTCAAATTTTTGCTATCGCTCCCTTTGCCGTCCGTCCTGATTTCTCTCCTCTAAATATTGCAAAGCACATCGGTTCTCTACCCTCAAAAGTCGGCTTCTCCCCGGATTTTATCAACTTCCTTGTAATCAAAAAGTGCAGTGATGCGATAACCATCCCTCTTTCGCTCATCTTCCAAGAATCCTTCTCCTCCGCCAAATTTCCTGAGATCTGGAGGCACTCTGTTGTTAGTCCAATATTCAAGAAGGGATCCAAATATGACGCTAATAACTACAGACCCATAACGCTCACTCATGCACTTTCCAGACTCTTCGAAAGATTAGTCCTTGAAGAGCTAAAACGTGTTATCGGCCCGAGTATTTCTCCGAATCAGTACGGATTCGTCAGTAAGCGATCCTGTGTACTAGCCGTCCTTGAGTCCACTTCCAGAATACAGAAAACCTTAGCAAATAAGCAACAATTCGTAGATGTTTTTTTCTTTGACTTTCGCAAGGCATTCGACACTGTCCCACACAATCTCTTGCTGCTGAAAATGAGGCGAATAGGTATTGATGAACGATGCTGCGATTGGTTCGAGTCCTTTCTCAGCAACCGCTCATCCAACGTCAAGGTTAATGGCCTAATCTCAACCAGCGAGATTGTTGTCAAATCCGGAGTCCCCCAAGGAAGTGTCACTGGCCCCTTTTTGTTTCTGATCTACATTAACGACTTACTATGCAGAGAAGTATCGAAATCGTCGAGCACTGGTGTGACATCTGGAGACTCAAACTAGCCGAAAATAAGACGGCCGTTATGCATTATGGTAAACGCAATCCTAAGACAGTTTATTTTATTAAGGGATCCCCCATTACTCCGCATCGCTCATTCAAGGGCCTAGGTATACTAGTTGATGATCAACTTCAATTCGACAAACACATCAATCTTATTGCCTACTCTGCTAAACTCAAGTCCCGCCAAATACTGAAAACGTTCCAATCGAAAAACCCTTGTCTATATTTCCGTCTCTTCGACACCTACATTAGACCGGTCCTCGAATACGGTTGTGAACTTTTCGATCCATCCAATTCCACACTTGCCAATAAACTAGAATCTCCTCTTCGTTATTTCACCAGAAAAGTCTTTCAGAGATGTAATATGCCCTTCAATTCATACACCGATCGCCTATCCCAGTTCTCTATGCTAACCACCCTTCATCGCCGCACCCTTCTAGTTCTTCGTACCTATCACAAAATTGTTATAAACTCATACCATTTTCCCTCTATATCGTCCTACATTCTTCCCAGCCATTCTAACAGAGCCCCGTATTTGTTCAAAATCAACGGTCAATACTTTGACTGCTTCCTTCACAGAAGCTTGTCTATGTGGAACCGTGTATGTAAGGTGATAAATTCTAAGCTCAGTCCGGTGGCGTTTGCTAAGCGAGTAGGAGCGATTCCTTATGATATTCTGATCCCTCCCACTTGACCTACAGGACTCTAGTCGGTCCGTCTGGTCATTTTACTTTTTTATTTGTACAGGTCCCATTTCTTGCCAAATTATCTATCGATTTCCCCCCATGCATTGCAAATAAATATTATTATTATTATTTATAACGCTCGTCTTTATTTTTTATAACGCTCGTCTTTATAACGCTCGTCTTTTTTATCTCATGAGAGATATCTCTAGAAAAACAAAAAACAACAAAAAATTCCGGAGTGTATGGAAATAGGCGGGGCGAGCTGAAAACTGCGGCACGGAAATCCGAGAAAACCGTGCGGCGCTTTTCTGTTTGGCGCCATCGCTCCCATCATTTGAACACGCGTTCTCTTTTTTTTCCCAAAAAACGGTCATATTAATTCATCTAAAGTTTTCAGTCTTTAATGAGGTTGCTTCTGAAATTACTAATCAATTGGTTTCTTCTCTTTGAAGTGAAATATCTCATCGGTGGTTTTTCTCGACAGCTTTTATTTAATAAATCGAAAACACCGAGCTAAAAGTTTTGACCGTTTTTTTCTAAATTTACTGACAAGTTCAGAGCTAGAATAGCCAGGTACTTTTTTGGCAGTAGAGCTGTTTGAATCAAAATGTTTTCACAAAGCGTACTGCGATTGGTGCGAAACTGTTCTTTCTCAATGCTTTCTTCAGTTTCCCCCTTTTCCAATTATGTTCTGTAATTTTCAGATGGCAGACGTTCAGTTTGACATCGGAGACTCGTGCGTCTGTCTGCACACAGGCAATAATCCATATGAGGCGAAAGTAATCGATAAGAAGGATTTTCAAGGAAAACAATGCTATATTGTTCACTTCAAAGGCTGGAATTCTCGATACGACCAGAAAATTCCAATCGGAGAACATTCCACCAAAATGTTCAAATGCACCCTCGAAGAATATCAGAATGATCATCAAGGAGAGCCATCGGAGCCAAAAGCCAAGAAAAGAGGTGCCAGAGCGGTAGCAGAAGATGCTCAACCAGAGAGCAGTTCGAAACCAGCAAAGAAAGCGGCGAAAATCGTGGCACCCGAGACAGCTACCAGAGCTGCAGCAGAAGATGCTCAACCAGAGAGCAGTTCGAAACCAGCGAAAAAGACGGTAAAAATTGTGGCGCTCGAGATCGCAACAGAGCCAGTCAATGGTGAACAGCATCATAATGACCATCAAGGAGAGCCATCGGAGCCAAAAGCCAAGAAAAGAGGTGTCAGAGCGGTAGCAGAAGATGCTCAACCAGAGACTGGTTCGAAACGAGCAAAGAAAGTGGCGAAAATCGTGGCACCCGATACAGCTACCACAGCTGCAGCAAAAGATGCTCAACCAGAGAACAGCTCGAAACCAACAAAGAAAGCGGCAAAAACTATGGCACCCGAAGCCGCAGCAGAGCAAGTCAACGAAGGTGCTTCCTCAGTTTCAAGATCTTCCAAAAGAAAACCAGCGGTAGAGACTAAATCCAAGCCTGATTCCAAAGTAAGTAGTGTTCATTCATTTTCTTTTACGATGAATTATTTTTGAAGGATCTGTTCGAGATCGGTGAAGATTGTGTCTGTATCCATGATAACGAGGCTTATGAGGCAAAAGTGCTTGACATCAAAGAACTTCAAGGAACGAAAAAGTATATTGTCCATTTCAAGGGATGGAATAATCGTTACGACCAAAAGATTTCTGTCGGAGAGGAGTCTGGAAAAATGTTCAAAGAAACTCTCGAAGAATACAAGAAAAAATACGGAGATCTCCATGGAGAAGGACCTTCTGAGCCTGCTCCCAAAAAGAAGACACCAAAGAAGGCTTCAGCACCAAAGACAACTCCAGCTCCGCAACAACAGGTCGATCCAATGTAAGTTGTTTCGTGAAACCGACAATTATAAGTTTTGCTAGACTGTAGATCATTGGATTTGACTTACTATATCACTTTATTCGCTGACCCTATAAAACCTAGTGATTAGGAGTCTCAGACAGGCAAACGGCCATTAGTTTGTGGTCAGCCAGTTTCCGATAAGAAACAAAATGCCAACACAACCTCAACTTTGTTATAGCGACAACATGACGAACTTCACGATCGTGGCAGTCACCCCAGCTCATGCTGATCATCTTATTGGAATGATCCATGTAAGCGATCCATATTGTATCAACTTAATTTCAATTAATTAAAAATTACAGGAACTTGCGGAGTTCGAAAAAATGAAGACCAGTGTTGTGAACACCGCTGAGAAGCTTCGTAAGGATATTACGAACAAATCTGTCCATGGTAGGAAAATATTCTCTCGGTTTTAAATTGTTGATTTTAAACTTCTGAAATTACAGGTTTCATCGCATTCGATGGAGAAGAACCAGCTGGAATGAATCTCTACTACTACGCGTATTCTACTTGGGTTGGTCAGGTACGTCAGTCGCTTCCAAAGCATTCGTTAACAATTCCATCGTATATATCAAATTTTCTATTTTAGTACATCCACATGGAAGATCTCTACATCCGTCCACAGTTCCGTCGTAAGGGACTTGCTCGCACTCTCTGGAAGAAACTCGCCCAAGTCGCAAAGGACAAGGAAATCGGGAGACTCGAATGGGCCGTTCTCGACTGGAACAAGGATGCCATTGCACTGTACGATACTGTCGACTATGCTAATATGACGGAGAAAGAAGGATGGCTTACATTCCGCATGGACGGAGCTGCAATCCAAAAGTTTGCTGATGAATGATTTTGCTATATAACTTGCTCCCAAGTTTACTTCTGAAAATAAATGCACCTTGTCTGTCTGTCTTAATTTCTGGATTTTAACTGCTGATGTAAAACATACTGAAACATATTTTATAATAGAATTTATTCATTTTCATTAATTTCTTGATATCACACATTAGATCTCGCATAGCTCGCCATCATTTCTTCTAGAGGAAGTTCCTCGTATTTTTCAATCATCTTGCTTGCTCCACTGTTACTACCGTCTCCAATACGATTAACAGTTTTATAGGGCCTGACGAGAGCAGAAGTGTCCTTATCTATTTCGTAGCTTTTTCTTGTCCAAGTACGTATAACTGATATCAAAAGATAAGTGGTCGTAATTAGGATCAGAGCAACAAAAACGTTTTTCACTGCAAAAAAAGCTCAAATTATTAGATATTTGATCATAGGCTCACCTGTCACATTAAGAGTATGATTTGGGATCACCACCCAATTGGAGCTCCATAATATCAAAGTTATTCCCAGGAAAACAATCGATGCAACCTGGAGACCGTAAATCGGGGCTGTTTTTCTGTTAAAGTATCCTATCTGAGGTCCTACAGTGGCTATTTGGAATCTGTAGTGACAATAGTCACATTTTCGGGTAGACAATGCAAATTGCACCAAACACTCGTTATGGGCAGTTACTGGACAACGGCATGCTTTGACGATCTTGGAGTCTAGTTCTTCGTTTCGACCATCACGAACTGTTCTCGTTCCGAAGCATAAATAGCATTCGCTTTCGTATTCAACAGGTATTCTAGAAGTACCTGCATTCGATTTCGGTAGATTGGTGCTCGCTGGAACCCGGGCAGTAAACAATTCTTCACAACTAGAGCACTTCTGTCGAACCATCTGGTATCGGTACAGATGGGAACATTTAGAGTGAACAAAAACGTCCCTACAGCTACACGGTCTCATAAAAAATTCTTCTCGTGATGTGGTAGGTATCAAAAGTCGGCATAATGTACAGCATATGACGTCATCAGCCGGCAGTCCGCTCTGGAAAAGTTCTTAAGTTGGAATATCCATAGAATCATTACCTGTAGCAAGCATTCTCCTAATGTTAGAGTATCGATCATACATTGTTCCTCCTTCCGAGATTCGATTCCATACGAACGACTTCTCTTTTCTCGAGATTTTCCGCCTTTCGTTGCAGACCCAACTGACTTGTAGGAGTTGCATATCCCTTGCAAGTCGTTAAATGTCACATCTGTTGATTTCGTATTTCTAAATTTTGGATATCGTTCTAGTTGGATAGTTGAATAAGAAATCCTGGTAGAAGCATTCTTGTCTTCATCTTCAGAAGAACTGCAATATTTCAAGCAATCGGATTTGTTTAGGTTTTGTAAAACATCCGGGAGAGTTTTGTATGGATGATGGGCGTACTGAAAAACCACCCGTTGGTCATCTTCAGAAGTTTCGGAACTATCCAGATTTTTCAGTAAACTTTTAAACTTCTTCGAGGAACTGTAGTCTGAGCTTTCTTCCGACTTTCGAACTTTCATTACTCTTTTTCCTATTTTTTTCTTCCGCCGTTTCCGATCAGAATTGGTTGATATGAGTTCTCTGAGTTGTTGGTTTTCTTCAGCCAAAATCATCATTCCAGATTCAATGAATCGAATTCTCATATCTTGTGTATATTCCACTTTCAAATCCTCCTTCTTCCTCATAAATTCCTTATAGATGCACTTCATAATGGGAAATTTTAATCTGATTCTGTAAATTGACAGATACGATTACCGTAACCACTAACGGTCAAACTTGAGCCAATTTATCTCGGTTCCTGTGAAGGATATCACAAAGTGGTCCACTGACAAATTGTTACTTTTAATAGCAAAAATATTTTGTCAGTCAGCTACTTTTTGATATATTTCACAGAAACCGAGATAACATGGCTCAATGTTAAAAGTAAGGGTTTGTAGTATAGAAAAATCAAATGGCAAGACAATAATACTGCAAAATAAGTCGTTAATCTAGTGATTCCTTCGTTGTCCTTGTTTACTCCATATCGTTATCAGATTGTTCACAGGTCCACGACTATTGAACATTTCTTCTTTGTTCCCCTTGATCTACTGATCTTCACCCTTTGACCTAAAAGATTATGAATGGAGGATCCTGAACTCCAAACCATGAAATTATAGTTCGATCAAGGTGCATCTACCCCCTCGCTTTTGTTTTTTCTATTTCCTTCTCTCTTCCTCTTATTTTACGAGTGTCTCCATCTAACCTCGTGATCGCCACTGATTGCCGAAAGTGCAAAGAACGATCACAATTGTAACATACAATCGGCGTCTGGTTCTGTGATGTTCAGCAGTCTGTGATATTTTTACAAATTTTTGTCTTCCTTGTGAATTTTTCTAGTTTGAATTACGATTTCATTCTGAACCATTTCGAAAAAGATGTGAAACACTGGAGCAAGTAGATGTATAGTTTTAATTTTAAACTTAATATGCATGATTTCTAAATACCACGGTATTCTAATATTTCATCTAAGTTTTCTCCTAGTATTCATATTTTTCAAGATTCTTCGAAAAGAAAAGATGGCTACACATGAAAAGATTCACCTGCTAGCATAATAATTACACTTGTTTCGTTGATCCGCAATTTAAAATTGAAAAGGAAAAACGAACTACTTTTTCTGAACCATCCTCTTTATATCGCCACTTTATATTTTTTTTTTCTCCAATACGTTCGACCTTCAAATTTAGTGTGTAAATACGATCATCTATCTCACTCCCAATAAGTATTAAATTCTAAACAAAACATTTGTGTTTAGATGTCTGAATTCAAAATCGCACATCCTTCTCTTTTCTGCGTCTTGCTTCTCTCGCTTTTTGTAACGTCCACTCGAAGAGTCGAATGATAAAAACGACTTGACATAAACACCGTCTTGGCTATCAGTTTTTGTTGTTGCGGCCATTTCAAAGTCAAGAGTGACTGTGTTTTGAAATAGGACAAGTAAAGAGTTTGTTGCTGTTAAAAGATTCACACTTAATTTTAGAATTCTCTATTTAGTTGGGGATCCGGAGAGGAAGTCTGTATGTACTAGAATCATAATTTTCGTCTGATACCTGCTCGTAGAGCAATGTGCGTTCTGTGATAAACGTCTGTGCTCTCAAGTATTTCTTCTAACTGTTTGTTTGTTTTTCGTTCCTTCCTCTTTCCTCTCCTTACTGTGATCTCGTGGATGCCATGTGGTATTTTCGTACAACCTAATACTGTTTTTGGAAAGTCCTATCAAAAACAATTTTTCGGGGAATCTTATTCTATTCTTATCACTTCATTTGTGTTATCAGATTTTTTTCTTATTATCTTTCTTTCCTAGAGGCGGTTCTGTGGCCACTGGTCAATGGCCTAAAGTCAGTTTATCTCTCCCATTTTCACATGTGGCGTGACCTCTTGGTCTCTGTGAAAATCGCCTCTTTGCTCTCTGAGTACGTGACCTCTACCTTGCCTTGTCACCTAGTTTTCACTCCGCCCTTCTCTCCACGTGGCGCTGTAGTGGTGCCAGCAGATCCAGATCCAGTTATACCCATAGTTAAGTCTTCAGTCAAAACCGAAGCCAGCTCTGAATCTCTTTTGCTCTCCCACAGTAGGAAGTTACCCTTAAAGTAATGTTTCTCTGTCGAAGTTTCACCCACTCTATTGAACGAACGCATTGGTTGTATTCACCGAATCGGTTCACCGTCTCAAAACTAACTATGTTTCAGAGAAACGACAACAATGCGGTTCGCCCGCATTCCACCGATTTTCGCCAATGTCGTTCGGCAGACACAACACCGGAATTATGCGAATGGAGTTATCAAGCCACGAGAGTTTAACAAGGTCTATCGGAGATCTTGAATAAAGTTCTGAAAATAATTTTTCAGGTCATGGTTGCCAATCGTGGAGAAATCGCGATTCGTGTGTTCCGTGCGCTCACCGAGTTGAACAAAACATCTGTGGCTATCTATGCGGAACAGGATAAAAATTCGATTCACCGTCTCAAAGCTGATGAATCGTACCTCGTTGGAAAGGGACTCCCACCGGTTGCTGCCTATCTGACGATTGATCAGATCATAGAGACAGCTCTCAAGGTTTTTTTTAAATAAAAAAGCGTGTGTAACTTTTTCTTTTCAGCACGACATCGATGCCATTCACCCCGGATATGGATTCCTGTCAGAGCGCTCTGATTTTGCTGCTGCGTGCCAAAATGCGGGTATCGTTTTCATTGGACCTAGTCCCGACGTGATGGCTAGAATGGGAGATAAAGTCGCTGCTCGTCAAGCTGCTATCGAGGCCGGCGTACAAGTAGTTCCAGGAACTCCAGGACCAATCACAACAGCAGATGAAGCTGTTGAGTTTGCCAAGCAATACGGTACACCAATCATTCTGAAAGCCGCATACGGAGGAGGAGGACGTGGAATTCGTCGTGTCGATAAATTGGAAGAAGTCGAAGAAGCGTTCCGTAGATCCTTCTCGGAAGCTCAAGCTGCTTTCGGTGACGGAAGTTTGTTCGTGGAGAAGTTCGTTGAGAGACCAAGACACATTGAAGTCCAATTGCTTGGTTAGTGCATGACCTATAAAAACCATCAATGTCATAATTTCAGGAGATCACCACGGTAACATTGTCCATCTCTATGAGCGTGACTGCTCCGTTCAACGTCGTCATCAGAAAGTCGTCGAAATTGCTCCAGCTCCAGCCCTTCCAGAAGGTGTTCGTGAGAAGATTCTTGCTGATGCTCTCCGTCTTGCCAAACATGTTGGATATCAAAATGCTGGAACTGTTGAGTTCCTTGTCGATCAAAAAGGCAACTACTATTTCATCGAAGTCAACGCTCGTCTTCAAGTCGAGCATACTGTCACTGAGGAGATCACTGGTGTTGACCTGGTTCAAGCTCAAATTCGTATTGCTGAGGAAAATCGTTGGAAGATCTCAAGTTGTCTCAAGATACGATTCACACAACTGGCTCTGCTATTCAGTGCAGAGTAACTACTGAGGACCCAGCTAAAGGATTCCAACCAGATTCTGGAAGAATCGAAGTGTTCAGATCTGGAGAAGGAATGGGAATCCGTCTTGATTCTGCATCAGCCTTCGCTGGATCCGTCATCTCACCACACTACGATTCGTTGATGGTGAAAGTGATCGCATCAGCCAGAAATCATCCGAACGCCGCTGCTAAAATGATTCGTGCTTTGAAAGAGTTCCGTATCAGAGGAGTCAAGGTAAATGTTTGAAAATATCAAAGTACTTGTTTAAATTGACTATCATCATTTTCTTCTGATAAGAAATGCTATGATGCTCAACGCAAACTGTGATCAATTGAGTGAACTATTTTTTAGACCAATATTCCGTTCCTGCTCAACGTTCTCCGTCAACCAAGTTTCCTTGATGCATCTGTAGACACCTATTTCATTGACGAGCACCCAGAGTTGTTCCAATTCAAACCAAGTCAAAATCGTGCCCAAAAACTTTTGAGTTATTTGGGAGAGGTCAAAGTCAACGGACCAACAACACCACTTGCCACAGATCTGAAGCCAGCTGCTGTCTCTCCTCCAATCCCATACATTCCAGCAGGTGCCAAACCACCAGCTGGTCTTCGTGATGTTCTTGTTCAGAAGGGACCTGCTGAATTTGCCAAGGAAGTTCGCAAAACTCCAGGATGCATGATTACTGATACAACCTTCAGGTTTGGTTTTTGAAGCTTGGATGAACTCAAATTTCGACTTTCAGAGATGCACACCAATCCCTTTTGGCCACCCGCGTTCGTACCTACGATATGGCAGCCATCTCGCCATTCGTTGCTCAATCCTTCAACGGTCTTTTCTCTCTTGAAAACTGGGGTGGAGCCACTTTTGACGTCTCAATGAGATTCCTTCACGAATGCCCATGGGAACGCCTTCAAACTCTTCGCAGATTGATTCCAAACATTCCATTCCAATGCTTATTGCGTGGAGCCAATGCTATGGGTTATTCTAACTATCCAGACAATGTTATCTACAAATTCTGTGACCTGGCTGTGAAGAATGGTATGGATGTGTTCCGTGTGTTCGATTCGCTCAATTATTTGCCAAATCTTCTTGTCGGAATGGAAGCTGTTGGAAAAGCTGGAGGAGTCGTTGAAGCAGCCATTGCTTACACTGGCGATGTCACTGATAAATCTCGGGATAAGTACGACCTCAAATACTACCTCAACCTGGCTGACCAACTGGTCAAGGCGCAAGCTCATATTCTGTCGATCAAGGACATGGCCGGAGTTTTGAAACCAGAAGCTGCCAAACTTTTGATCGGAGCTCTCCGTGACAAGTTCCCAGATGTTCCAATCCATGTTCACACTCACGACACCTCTGGAGCTGGAGTAGCCGCCATGCTCGAATGTGCGAAGGCTGGAGCCGACGTTGTGGACGCTGCTGTCGACAGCATGAGTGGAATGACATCGCAACCATCTATGGGAGCTATTGTCGCCAGTCTTCAAGGAACCAAACATGATACAGGTCTATCTCTTGATGACATTTCCAAATATTCTGCCTACTGGGAGTCGACTCGTCAATTGTACGCTCCATTCGAATGTGCCACAACAATGAAGAGTGGAAACGCGGACGTCTACAAGCACGAGATTCCAGGAGGTCAATACACGAATCTCCAATTCCAAGCCTTCTCCCTTGGATTGGGACCAAAGTTCGATGAGGTCAAGCGTATGTATCGCGAAGCAAACCTAGCTCTTGGTGATATTATCAAGGTGACACCATCCTCGAAAATTGTTGGAGATTTGGCTCAATTCATGGTTCAAAACAATTTGACTCGGGAAACACTTGTGGATCGTGCAGATGATCTCTCATTCCCAAAAAGTGTTGTTGATTTCATGCAAGGAAACGTTGGGCAACCACCATACGGATTCCCCGAACCTCTCAGAACCAAAGTTCTTCGTGGAAAGCCAAAGGTTGATGGAAGACCAGGGGAGAATGCCAAGCCAGTCGACTTGGATGCACTAAAAACTGAGCTCGAGGAGAAACATGGCCGTAAATTGACCGAGGAAGATGTGATGTCGTATTCGATGTTCCCATCAGTGTTCGATGAATTCGAGACTTTCCGACAACAATACGGACCAGTTGACAAGTTACCAACACGATTATTCCTGACTGGGCTTGAGATTGCCGAGGAAGTTGACGTCGGTTGAATGACATGTGTTTATGATAAAACAGATTTGGTTTTCAGGTTGAAATCGAAAGCGGAAAGACCCTGGCTATCCAACTTCTCGCAGAAGGAAAGCTCAATAAGAGAGGAGAACGCGAAGTGTTCTTTGATTTGAACGGACAAATGAGAAGCATCTTTGTCGTTGACAAAGAAGCTTCCAAAGAGATTGTGACACGTCCAAGAGCTCTTCCAGGAGTTCGTGGCCACATTGGAGCCCCAATGCCCGGAGACGTTCTTGAGCTGAAAATCAAGGAGGGTGACAAGGTAAGACGATGCATCTGAAGCAATCATAAATCAATCACACATCCGGATTGAAAAAAAAGAAAATGACATATGAGCTGAATTCAAAACGTAGGCACACCACAACGAAATTATATGGAACGGGAGATGAATTTATAGCCTAGCCTTCGTCTATGCCTCCCACATATATTCCTTTTGTGGTCGGCTGTTCACGAAAACATATGACGATATGTGCATTGAAAGAGAAAAGAACGGGAACAAGTAATTTGTATTTCTTTCTAGGTTACCAAGAAGCAACCGCTATTTGTGCTCTCCGCCATGAAAATGGAGATGGTAATCGACTCGCCAATTGCTGGAACAGTCAAGGCTATCCATGCTGCGCAGGGAACGAAGTGCACTGCTGGAGACTTGGTCATCGAAATTGAACCATGAATTTGACATCATCAATAAATTCGTTTCCATCTTTAATTAGTTCTCTAGAGTAATGTCTTTTCTTGTTCCTTGCCTTCTTCCTCTTCTTCCATCGTGCTGCTGCTCTCGAATTCTTCTCCCACCCACTTTTTTCTTATCCACAATTCCATCACTATATTTGCCGTCTGTTCTATAGAATGACCCTTTCTAATCTTGTCGACCTACTTAATGTGTATATTCTGTGTATTGCATTTTTTTTCGATTTGTCTCTGCGTGTCTTTTCGTTTGCTCATTTTTGCCTTTTTCTCCACTTCTGCATTTAAATAATTTTCTAAGAAAATGTATTTATTGCATCGGGTGCTCATTGTCTCTGTGTAGAATATAAACTCATTCACTTCTCTCCCCTTTCTTTCTCTTTTCCATCTCACATCCAATTCTCATCACACACTGACTTTTACTTCTTGGCCCACCACTGGTAATTGGTGGGTTGAGTTTCTTTTTCCCCTCAGATTTTATGGCTTTTTTTGGAGTTGCGTGCTCACGCAAAGAGCCCGCCCACTCCGGAAGCCAGCCAACAAGAGCCTTTTTTGTCCACTTCATCCGCAAATTCCAATTGAATTCTAGATCAAAAACTTTCAAAGTTGGGAAGCATGTGGAGCTGTCTGTCCATTCAGCAGGTCATTGCATTTCTTTTCAGGTAAGTTGGGCAATCTTTACAAAAATGAGGATTACTGTAGGTAAGCATAAAGAAAGTATTTTTAATTTATGTGTTAACTATAATTACTGTTTTCTGAAAATCATGGTATTATTGCGAGGGAGGAGCATAACAAAATTAAACTTCTGGTTTTCGAGTTACCAAGAATAATCAAATTCAAGAAGTAAGATTTCAGATCGACTATTTAAAAAGTTCCGTTTGATCTTTATGAAATGGCCAAAAAATTGGCTTTGGTTTGGATGGGCCATGTCAATCTCTAATGAAAGCCCACTCAGGCTCAATTATCTCGATTCCAATTTGAGCTCAATTATCTCGATTCCTGTGAGAGATATCGAAAAGTTGTCAACTGATAAAACGTTCATCATATTGTCGTAAAGATTTCAGTTGACCACTTTTTTAGATCTTTCACAAGAATCGAGATAATTGAGTTCAAAGTTGTCGGCTAGGGTAGACTTCTATTAGCGGGAATACGGTATTTCACGCATTTCGACTCTTCCTATTTAGGTGCCGTAAAACCTGCATTAGAAGGGCCTCTTTAATGAATGAGCACCTCAAAATTCGTTGGTTGAAATTAAACAGTACTTTTCAGGGAAAAAATACAGAAATTCTAAAATTTTGTTGAAACACTTTTTTTGCTCAAAAATTGCTCGATTTTGAGGAAATTGATACACTTTCACTGTTTTTGAACCAGAATTCACCGCATTTTTTGATGAAATAATTTGGAAAAGAATGACCGGAAAAATATAAGAACCACCTCTATTTGAAGGGCCCTTTGAAGGTACCTTGGAACAATTGAAGGACCGGCCCTTCTAATACAGGTTTTATGATACACACTTTTATTACCTTCTAAAGCAACTGTTTCCCTAATAAGTAAAAAAAGTGCTCATAGTGAGCATCGTCTTCTACATTACATAAAAAGTATATAACTAATCGGATGAATCTATTTTTGGAACAAAAAAGTTTGCTCAAATCCAAAAAGAATCCTTTGAATTCTTTGGTCGCAACGACATTCTTTGTTCGTGTGGATTGGCAAAATAAAATAAATCCTCTCTAGAGTTTCATGTACGGGGAGGTGCCGGCTTACGGATTATTCAGCAGACAATTATCGCACTTTCATTTCCTCATCTGAAATCTTCCTCTTCCTCTTCTTCTTCTTCTTCTTCTTCTTCTTCTTCTTCAAGTCTTCTTCTTCTATCTCTTTTTTATCTGTTGTTCGCTTTTCCTCGAGCAATTAGCGTGTGTTTCTTTCTTCTTCTCCTTCCTTCTACTTTTTACTCTCTTTCTATTCTGACTCAACTATTCCAACCGAGGAGCAGAGGATTTGACGTTTCCTTCCTGTGGGACAAAAAAAAGAGAAAGTGAGAGTTGGCAAACCGCCTCTTCACCCAGTAAGCCACGCCCACTTTATTCGAGCACAGCTTTGTGCTGCTCTCTTTTCCATTTCGAAGGGCACACCCTTATTCTATCTATCTGCAACTGACACTGATCCTCTTATAGACACTCCCAAAAAATGTCAACGATGGATTTGAGGTATGGAAAGACTCTTTCTGCTAAAGAGAAAATGAATTGAAAATTCACTGGTTGCTTTTTTTTGTTGAAAAATTTCATGTTTAAGAATCTAAATTTAGATATGACTTCCGGCTGATTAAACTGATTGTGATTAGAATTACAAGGAGAACTTTGTCTGAAAAATAGGAAAATGCTTGAATGTCAAGAAACTTTGAACTTTGCACGAGCAATTCCACATGGAAACTTAAACGGAACCGGAACCGGAAATCCGCAATCACAGTTGTTATAGTTTTTTCTTTCGGAGATTGATGGTTGGTCACTTTTTGTCCACCTAGGCTAACGAAAAAAAAATATATGTGTAACGGGGCAGAACAAAGGACAATCCGCTGTCTGATCTCTTTTCCTAATTCCATCCATGTCATTTCCAGAAGGAAGCTCAGCGACTCTCGAAGCTCCTCAGAATCCTCATCGGATGCTGTTACTCAGAAGTCGTCGTTAGAGATCCATTCACTCGGAGGTGCCACGTCTCCGTGTCTTCTTCCAGTTTCGGTGAGCAATTGCAACATTTTTTGACGATGATGATGTGTTAAACACTAATCCTTGGGTTTTAATTGAAAAGAAAAGAGATGACTGGTTGCGAAGAAGCACTTAGAATATTCAGAAGAATTGTCTGCGCGTTCTTTAGGTCTCAAAGAACTGACTTGTGAGGTATGGATTATCTAGAAAATCAAATAGTCAAAAAGCTAAATTTCAAAGATCCTAGAGGTTCAAAACTTTGTTCGAAATCTTGTTATCCATCTTTCTGTTTACATCATTCCTATTTTATGTGGACATCGTACATGTTCCTGTTCCCATTCTGAAACAAAGCACAAAAATCCATCCACAAAACGTTTTTTTCCAACAACAAGATACTTCGCATGTCATTCCAGTTGAAAAGTTGTTTCAACTTTAAAAGAAGGGGGACAGGTGATTTTTCTGAAGTTTTTTTGAAGTTAGGGAACCGTAAAACCTGTAATAGAAGTGCCCTTAACGTTTAACTTTGAGCTAATTTATCTCCGTAGCTCTTAAAGATATAAAAAAAAGCTGTAAACTAATAAAATGTTTGTGATATTACTATAAACATTTCATCAGTTTACAGATTTTGATAGCTTTTACAACCGAGATAATTGAGCTCAAAGTTGACAGTGTGGGGGGCTCTTCAGGTTTTTCGGTATGTATTCTGACGAGACGGTGTACAATGTTTAGTGTTCACTTTGCGTACAGCTATCGTACCGGCTTTTATCTATGCCATCGGGAATCATCCGGCACTTCAGCTTCGTTCGCGTAGCTCAAGCGGTAGTGGCGCCGCATCTTCAATACTTGTCCCACAAGTTCAAATCCTTGAAGAGCTTATATGAACAAAATGTTGAGACATTTATTTTTTTTTTCATGTCCTCCATTTTTAAGAGGGATGAGGAAATATTCAGGGACTGGTTTTTGATTTCATAGGCTGCAAAATTAGAAGAAATATGACATCAGAAACTTGCTAGACCATGACAACTATATTGTTAGATGCAGAAGAAACTTAGATTGTAACTTTATAACATTTTTGAGCTAAATCTGAAAAGATGTCTAATAGGAAGGGCATATTTCGCCTCTGGCAAACTTTCCAATTTGAGCAGTTTGATAGCAGCAGGATGAGAGACGGCGGGGGTGGCATCACAAAATGTGTGAGTTTCCAATTATATTGGGGGAAAAACAGCAAAAAAAAGAAGAAGAGACAGATGACGTCAGTGGCATTTCTTCAACACTTACTTACTGATGACAATCACGGAAAAAACGGAAAGAAACAGAGGTTTCCGGTTGAGACAAAAAAGTTTTCGAGAAAAGTTTTTGGTTTTGGATTTCTTGAATCAGCTGAATTCAAAAAAGGAAGAACTTAGGCACGCAATGCTGAACACAAAGATCAAACATTTTAGGATTGGAAGACAGAGAACTGTAGCTAACGTCACATCCGACTAGACATGCAAGTCCCTACGGTATCTTTCTGATTAGATTCATTAACGTTTCGACTGGATTCTGAAAACAGAAAACTGTTTCTGGGCACATTCAGAGATCTCTTAACTTAATTCAAGGAGCGGGATATCGGTTGGTGTTTTGACTGTCTGTGTAGAAGGATCCTGAGGGAACTGTCCATGTTTGGTATAAAAAGAGATGTCTTGAAAAGAAATTATCCGTATTGTATATTCAGCTACATCAGCTTTTGTACTACACATCCTGTAAAAATGCGGGTAAGAATTTCGAAATGTAGAAACTGCAAATGTTTTCACATTGAGCTCAATTATCTCCACCCCTTCAAAATAGATCAAAAATTTGTCAACTGACAAAATTTTGGTAGTTTTACAAAAAACATTTTGTGGACCAATTTTCGATATCTTTTGAAGGAACCGAGATAGTTGAATTAAAAGTTTCCCTACCGTAAATTCTTCTACCACAGAATTTACGGTAGTTATGAGAAAAAAGTTCTTCAGAAACATATACTAACATAGTCCCGAAAGGCAGAATATTTTTCGGAAAATATGCGAAAAGTAGTTTTTTACAGTTACAGATGATTCAAGAAAATTCGAAGCATCGTCAGTCTTTATAAACGTCATCAATAGTAGCACTCTTTGCTAATACGCTACAGTATGTCTGATTCAAAGGACTTAACATACCGTAAAACTTGTAATAGAAGAGTCCCAATTTAGAGCTAGAGTTCCTGTCAAATATATAAAAAAATTTCTCAAAGGATAACCTGTTTACCATAACATCAGGAGTA